AAAAAATCCACAAAAAACCATTCCCAATCTGTGGTTTATTGGGTATGCGGCCTATAGTTGGTATAATGGCGCCCAAATGGTTCGAATCAGGAATTTTTTATTCTGGATGCCACAAGTGGGAAAAAGGAAGTATTGACACGCAGGAGTGGAGGCCAAACAACAGAAAACACGAAGGGTTTTGAACTGCGTGATTTCAAAATCTTACACCAGTACAGTATATAGTATATAGTGGGGTTGTTGAGGGTGAATTAAAAAAAGTCTTGAACAAAAACCCTGCTAGAACACTATATGGGGGTTTCCTAAAATAGGGGTACTCATCCATTTCTAGATGGGATTTTCCATGAAATAAACCATCCAGCGTTTTTGGGGTACACCTCCATTTATAGAAACCTCCATATATAATCATATATATATATAGCAATGGACTGTTTCGTTGAAATGGCTTTGCCACAGTTGTTACCTTCAGGATCATCAGGACATTCCGAAGTCGACACGGACATGACAGCCACTGACAGCTTTTGGTTTTGCAAAATACCATTTCAAAAATAACAGTTGCTGTCCACTGAAATGGTCAACATTTTTAAAATGTCTACGTTGAATGGAGAAAAATAGCAGACATTTTTGAATACGACCTGCAAGGCTGCAAGACAGATCTTCCAAGATCAGACGTGTCCCCTTTGAAACATCGACATCTTTCCATTTCTTGGGATCGGACAACGGGACATTCCCGTAAGCTCGGCACAACAGCAGAAACCACAGCACTTCCCGCCACCTTTCCCTTCCTTGGCATGGCTGATATGGATGAGAATCTTGGAGATGTGGTGAGATGATGTCGCCATATCCAGCTGTGATGAAACACGACTTCGAGTCACTGTACTTTCTGATTCTACAGATATCTAATGATGGATGTCCCAGCAACTGTTGGGCTACTCGCGAGATGAGTATCTAAGCTTGTACTCCTGAGTTGGTAGTGACCATAGTTTCAATCACTTTTTGGAGTTACCATGCATGGTCACCCAGCATTGCGGGCCTCATTTCTGGACTTGCCACCTTCTAAACGAGTGACAGGATTTAGATGCCCCAAATATCCAGTGTCTCAGGAGTTGTTAGGTTCTTTTTTGCACTTCAAGTTTCAAGGGAAGTCAACCTGGAAGATTGACTATCGACGATGTTCCATGAGTCAACGTGGCCATGTCAGAAAACTAACCACCGCTCAACAAAAAACGACCTAGGATATGGTCGGAGATGCAGCGGGAGCAGAAAACCAAGAGCTTTGCAAAGACCAAGGCATTGATTTGATGAGGATTTAACCAAAAATGGTGGCATAATGGAACAGAGGACATACCGGTATAATTGTACGTATAATACATATATCATATATTGTGTTTAATATATATATATATATATATACATATATATATATAACCATCAATATGATGATTTGGGGGATGAGCATCCTTAATTCCCAGCTGTTTTGGTGAGAACAGGTGGGTTTTGACGGGTTTTGACCCATAACCGGTGGTTTTGCCTCCATTCAACTTGTTTTCACCCCATGGAACCGCTATAGCACTGCTCAGGACCATCACTGTGGCGTATCCAACAAGAATCTAAGGATAGCAAGGAAGCGATGGTTCGCTGGTTGAAAGTCCAGGATGCGCCATTCGGGTCGTTCCATGGTGAGAATTTGTTCTTGTGCTTCTGGATCTTCTGGGAGCGGACAATACCTTTATACAACTGAATACAGCGTAATTACACAATTGTCATCCCTTCAACCAATATATATTACTATATATGCATCTACATATAAATGTATTTGAATATTTCTGTTAGCAAACGTATATTTTATATATAGTTTCCCACATGCCATCCAAAATCAATTACCCCACTGTGGATAAACGTGATGGCTTAAAACATGTAAATGTATGTATATCTACATAAATATATAGATAGGTCTGGTGGATGACTTTTGATGACCATCACAATGATCCCCCTAGAGTGTGGTGCGCCAGAGGCATGCGAAAACCCAAACCCGGCTGTTGCTGAGCACGCCGTTTGCTGTTTGATCGCCACAGCTGGCGACCGTTGCTCGTCGCTGAGAAAAAAGGCACCGGTTGCAGTGGATGCGGACCTTGCGTTTCCTGTGATTTTTCCAAGCGATGTGCTTGGGGATGCCCAAATTGGGCAGCACTTTTGATGGGATACTTTGAGAGTCCTTATAGTTGGGAAATCAAACTCGGCTGATGCCACGGGCCGGCCCAACAAGTTCTGAGGACCTCACTAGAGTGAAACCTTCCGAAGACCTCCCAAGCAATTGTATGTTTGGGATCAACACACATCTTCCATCGTGCTGTGCATTGCGTTTGGGGCTTTGGCAAGAAGTGGCAGAAATGATACGGATTCATGTGTTCAGTATTTGAGGGACCCGAACGGACGACTCTCAGTTGGGCCTTCTTTGCGACTTGTTGCAGTTTGCAGCTCCAAAATTTGCAAAGAAAATGGAAGGTCATTCCAAAATTGGCGCAAAAACTCTCCCAATGGTTTTTTGGTGATTCATTTGGTGGATCCATTGGTCGCCCGAAAAAATCAAAAGCAGTGCCATTTTTTGGGACAGGACTCCCGGATGATCCAGGTGGCCCCCATGGTGCAGGTTGCAGCTCAACATTGCGCAGCAAAGATCGTCCGCAGAGGAACAAACACTGGAAAGACGTCAAACAAAGATTCCAAACTCGCCGCAGCAAAGGGTTTCTCACTTGTCATGAGAAGTTTTTTTTTTGTCGTTTTCTTTGAACGCGATTCCGAGCTCACCCTGTTTGGCTTTGGAACAGCGCAAAGCCAGAGCGCGGAGCCGCAGCTGGAAGTCCATAGGGCAAGTTGTCCCGCAGATTGCTGACAGTCCTCTCAGCAGTACATATTCTTGCTGAGGCTCATATTGGTTCCACATGATTCCACATTGTAGATTCCATTGCAATCTCAGATCCAATGATGCACTTTCATGCAATTTTCAGTCTTTCCCCGGGGGTTTTCCAGTGTTTCCATTGGTTTCATGTTGCATCCGTTTCCCAAACAGTTCAGGTTTAAAAGTTTAGTCTCTGCGTTTCGAGGCGTTTCACCGCCGAGTCGACCTCCTCAAAGGACGGCAGCTGCCTTAGCTTGTCAGGCCTAGATCACCACACTCGACATCTCGACATCTCGACATATTTTCAATTTGAGGAGAAATCTTGAGAAATCGACGTTTCTCCCGTTCTTTTTTGATTTTTTTGGCCAGCAGTTGCAGTATAGGTCCAAAGGGACAAACACATGACGTCAGACATTGAAAATCAGGCGACCGGCACCTCCAGAGATCCCCACATATCCCCTATCAATAGGGGTCCCAGGGAGTTTGCACAAATGATCACAAATGTCATGGCACAAATGTCATGATTTTCCCGTAGATCAAGCCATGAACACTTCCGGTTTTTAAATTTTGGTGGTGGAGTTGTCGAGTTGTCCCCAGGACGTCGTCATGGGCTCTGGCGGCTCATCTCAGGCCCTCCACGGGAGCTTCTGAGTGGCAGAGCTGATTCACACAATCATTTGAAATCATTTTATTGTCTGTACATGTCTGTATCTGTACTATTCTGTAGTATTTTTTGAGCCAGTGCCTTTGATTGCCTTTGCCTCGTCTCCCACTGTGAGTGGTTGTCGCTTGTGTCCCCGTGCCTCTGCGTATTTGTGGTGTGGTTGCACCATGTTGCACCTCAGCCGTACAACATTTTGACCTACATGGCGAGGCAGCCAAACGTGCTGTGTCAGCTACTGCTGAGGTGCACACGGGTATCGTGGGCAGAGTGACGTGGGCCGTTTGTTTGTTCATTTGGAGTTCATTTAGATCCAGCAACTCCTGCTGTTTCAACAGGTTCAAGTTCGACTGGTTGAAGAAATGGCCAAAGTAAGCCAAGTAAGCTGTTCGTTTTCAAGACGAAAGTAACATTTGGTCATTTTTGCATTTGTTTCATGTCAAACTTTAATTTTTTTGGCGTTCAGCTCGAGGTTTGGACATGGCGAGATTTGCTCATGGCGTGATGTTGACAGTTTCTTCAAAGAGATGAGGTTGTCACTCTGCGCGTTTTCGCAGGCGGACCAAACAGAAGGATGTCGCAGTCTTAGGCTTTCGAAATCAACCTCGGACGTTTGTTGTTGAACTTTTTTTTTGCTGGAAGGTTTGCTGAACATGGCATGATCTATGGATCTATTTGGTGTTTTTGGCTCTGTGTTTTGATTGTATTTCAATAGTTGAGTTGCATGTGCACCGGCCCAAACTCCACCCTTCGTATTACCTATTGAGTGATGGATGCAACGTTATTGTCCGATTCCTGTGGTTGATTTCCCATTCACATCAATAAATTTCCAAATCATCTGTCGATTCAGAAGAATCTCTGGTGTCAAACTACGGCGGAATCAAGTCGCACTGCTGATGTTTGCAAAGTGTCTTCATTCAGCCTCAGCTTATGCATTTTCTGAGGGAGTGGCATTATGCCGACCGCCCAGGAGCTTGGTGTCATAAAACATGTTGACATTTGCTAGACATGTTCGTGAAGCCGTATGGTTGACAGGAGCACACCAGCCCGGAAGTTGGGAGGCTTAGGAAAACGTGAGGGGCTGGAAGCGTGTTGCATGGTGCTGGCACTTTTGATAAGGTCTTCACTAGCTTGCTTGGCTTCGAGGTTCTCACACTGCACGCAGCAAGGTTGTTGGTTTGGAGTTTTTTGCCACCAGAAGAATTCAAATTCTGCACCAGATTTGGGAATAGAGAACCATATTCCAAGCTCACCTTTCGTGGTTTCCGCTATTTCTGTACGGGCGGTCAGTGGTTGCAAACGCATCTTCCTCAGACTCTGATGTTGAGCCTGCCATCTCTCGTATTCCTACCCTCCCTGTGTGTCTTTGGGCTGACCGAGATGGACCCTCAGTGGGGGGACGCCAACTTCGCCGAGGTCCACAGCAAGCTGTACGACGAAATCATGAGTTCCATCCACCTGGTCTTCGGGCACTTCAGCGATGGAGTTCGAGGACTTCCGGCGGAACACCTCGGGCAGGCCATGCGGATCCTGGGGATGAACCCCACGGAGGATCAGGATCTTTGGCCGCAGATTGAGGCTTTTGGGTTTTGAGGAAATCGCACCTCCCTGGACCTCCCTGTGACAACTTGGGAATGTTTGGTCTGTTGTTGAACTGTCCCTTTGGGTTTTGAGCTTCCGCAAGGTCTACAAACACTTGGCAGATCTTGGTCGCCCATACATCGACCAAGCGACGTTTCACCGTTTCATCCAGGACAGTCGGACAGTTCGGGAATGGTCCAATTCTTGATTCTTAGTGAAGTTGATGTTTCACTCGTGTGAGTTGAACATTGTGCCAATTGTGCCTTGAGAATGCTTGATGTTCCTGTTGTTTCACCGATTCTCTTTCAGCTTTGCGTAGCTTTGCAAGCTGCAGCACGGCGCAGGACGAATTGACAAAGTATCTCGAACAGGTTCAGGCCAGTCAAATGACGACAACCAAATTGATTGCCTTTGCACCTGGGCCAAACCGTAATGACTCCTTGAGATCTAAAGCTACCAAATTTTCGCGGATTTCAGAGACTACTGGTATGTGCTGCTTGTGAGATGCGCAGGCTGTGGTTGACTATCTGAAGCAATATGATACGGACAACAAGGGCGCCTTGTCCACTGAAGAAGTTCAAGCAGCGATCAGAGGCACGGTGAGATCAGAAGTGTCAGGAAAGGATTTCCATCGGATGTATTCCGGGATGTATCGAATGATGGAATTTTGAGAGAGCGAATGAATGATGCTAGGTTGATTGGTTGATGCCCGGGTGCTTTGGGATTTTATACATGGTTGACATATATATATATATATATTTGACATTATATTGTTTTATGGAGTCTTTCAGTACAATTTGTGGGTTGAAATCGGACATTTTGCGTCCAGGAAGTGAGCTGAGCCAGAAGAAGCTCCAGGCTTGTTGGGGAAGAATCAGAACTTGCAGAACTTGCAGCAACTGCAGTAGCGAGGGTCTGCAACTGGAACGCCAAAGCAACAACCAAAATCACTTTTTCACTTGTTCAGTGACGCACTTGTTTTTGGTAGTCCGGTGTTTTTCAGTCCCTTTATTAAGGGAAAGGAGATGTGTCTTAGTCTTTCTTCAGAAGCTGAAGAGACTCCGGCCTTGCATTCACCATTTCTTCTCACCAGCGACTCGCAGAGTCCTAGACAGCTTGGGATTCCGCAGGGTCACGAGGCAAGTGTCGCAACGATGCCAAGCAACAGCCACCCGGATGCAAGCTACAAGCTGACGGTTAGCCAAAGTGTTTGATGGAACCAGTATCCACATCCGTTCACCACATCTTCCCAAGTTGCCAAGTCATGAAGTGCACAATTCGGATTCTGGTCGATTGGGTATCACGGTATCACCAACAAGATGGATGGTGAATGTTAAACATGATTCAAACTCATGGCTTTTCTGGGGCTTTGAATTGAGCCTTACCCATTTTCCAAGAGGACCCCAGTTCGTTTTGACGGAGGTAAAGGTCAGCTGGATATTGTGGAGCTGGCAACGTGTTTTCTGGAGCTGGGTGATGAGGCGGCTCTCGGTACATTACCCTTGTCATCCCTTGTCTACATCACACGAACAGAAATCGGTTTCTTTGGGACCTTCACATTTTTTTGGTCGACTGAGAGCATATCTTATTGGGGCTCATGTGGCTGGTCTTGTCATCCCTTGAGCCGCAGGAAATGCTTGAGCCATCGGAGGCAGCCATGGCAGCCATTGGACGGGGAATCGCCGGTGGGAATTGACCTACGATATCCTACGATGGTTTGCTATCGAAATCGATACATATTTTGTGACAAAATCAAAACATAGTGCTTCTTTTCCTTCATTTCTTTCTTGCATTGAGTTTAGATTCAGGAGGACAGCCTGATGTACACCGGGAACGGCAAAGCAACACACAGAATTCATTTTGTCCACTTGTATAGCGAAATATGTGTCTTTGGCTTTCGCAGTAGTTCACCGTTTTTCAATTTTCTTCTCATGAATCAAGGTTAAGAAGATGTTCGCGCGTGTCTTTTTTCAGACACAGAATAGACATTGGGAAAATATATCATGATGTTTTCAGGTCAAAGATGGCAGAACTGTTCTCATGCGGGCGCTCTTAACCCACGTGATTCAACTTCAACCAGAAACAACCAGACGTCAATTCGAACTAAACGCACCAGACTATCTTAAGCAAGACTGTGTAAGCGCCACTTCTGGTTGTGGCCCACAAAACCATGTAGCAGTGGACCTGGTGTGGTTTGGAAATGGAAACATGTAGCAGTGGAGCAGCTTGCTTACTTTTTCTCAGCACGTAGTTTCAAGGCCTGACAAGTCGGTTGCAAGGCAGAGAAAGAGAGAGCATCTGCGAGTGAAGCAGATAGCAAAGCAGTCAAAATTCCGGCATGAATGGCCAGGGGCTAGAGCTTTGTTGCTTTAGACTTCTGCACATTTCATTCAAGATAACATTGAGCTCAGCTTGAATCTCAAAATTGCAGCCACTTGCGGCCATGTGAGACACTTTACCATATATAGACTATAGAATACTATAGACACTTCTTTCACTATCAAAGCAAGCACATTTGGCACATGTCCACATGCTGAGTTTAGCCTTTTCTCCGTTCACTGGACCAAAACAGTGGATGTGACTGCGCTGCAAGGTGGTCAAAGATGATGTATCAGCTGATGCCGAGGCACATGCGGGAGCTGGAGGATTTGAAGCTTTGGTGCTTTGAGCTTCTACAGTAGCCGTTGGCTGGTCATGTAGCCAATTGTTTTTGGGTAGTTTGGCCAAAAATTGATACTTGAATTCGGTGCAGTTGGGCGGTCTTTCAAAAATGGGTTCCTTCTTTTGGTCTGGCAGGAGACTCAAACTATTTCCGCTCATTGCTTCATTTGACCTGACACAAAATGAATTTTGCGGTTTAGACTTCCAGCCAGGGTGCACAGAGTGCACAGAGTGCACCTCTTAGGCTCGATGGGTGGGTTGAAAGTTTGTCCTTCATTCCCCATGAAATTGTCTGGGGTGTCCTTTCCTGCTTTTCCCCGAGGCAGGCACAACTGATGAACAATGTCAGGATCTCAGAGTCTTGAATCGACTTTGGAAGCTTGTCATACAACCCTCACACATCTTGTCACCTTGACGTAGCATGCTTCAATTCGCATATAACCCTTCACCACCGCAAGCAGATCGTCGCAAGATTCTTTGGATAATGCCAATCATGTCACACTAAGAGGGCCTGGTGGTAGGGCCTCCCATCAGGTATACAGGAGAGGATCCCATGATGTCATTTGCTAATTCCATGATTTTTTGCCTGCCGTTTGTGAGGCAGAGACAACCCTGCTGAGGACAGCGTGCCCCCCGTGGAATGGAGATGAATTGATGAATGGAGTGTTTGTCGACAGGGCAACGAAAGAGTTCCCAGGAAGCTTGCACCTGGATGTCGAACACGATTAAAATTCCCATACAATGCCTATTGTCATAGATTCAACTTTGGAAGGTCTCTGACACACACACATGAAACTGGACATGATTGATTGTTGGTGGCAGACAGGAGAGCGCCAGTGGCCCAGCAGTTTGGAGGCTCAGGAGTGGGACTATACTGAGTACTACTGGGTGTCGAAATGTAGTTCCCGCTGGTCTCGACTGATACTTGAGATACAGAATGCAGAGCTGGATGGGGACCCGGCTTTAACGGTACAAGCGGGAGCAAATCTGTCCTTGCCCAGAGGCTTTCTTTATGAAAAGATTTAGATCCGTCGGTTCTGATAGATGCTCGATGCTTCTTACTGATTTTAAGGCAGGTGCACTGTCTTGCTGCAACACTGGAATATTCTGGGAGGGTTCAATTAATTACTGAAAAAGAGGAATCTACACACGAGGTGGACAACTCTGATCGTTCTTGCATCGAGTGTAGTATGATTCAATGATGTGAACTGTGAACACAGTTTTTTTCCCGACACCTCCCACTCTGGTTGACCTGAAGACATGTCAGTGTCTTCAATCAAAGTGTTTTGAATTGCACATGTTCTCCACCAAGAAATGAGCTGTAGCCCCCAGATGCGCCTCTGGGATCGATTTGCCAAGGCCTACAGCACGATGTTCAACGATGTCATCGCTTCCACGAACGCTGTCTTCAGATATTTCTCCCAGCCTTCTGGAGTTCCCGCGGAACGACTTGGACATGCCATGGCTATTCTTGGGATGAACCCCACGGAAGATGAGGATCTTTGACGGCAATTACTGCTGTTGTGTAATAGCCTTGAGACTATTGAGACTATTGCTTCCCTCTCGTGTCAATGTCTGTTCATAAACTGTTGAAGTGTTTCTATCTCCCTGCTCTTGCAATGAGGTCAAAAAGCATTTGGCAGGTCTCGGAGGTCCAAAATACATTGACCAAAAGATGTTTCACCGTTTCATAGAGGACTGAGATGAACCGGGGTGCTTGATAAAGTTTTATGTACTGCATGTGAGAAGTCTGAAGTGTGCTTCATGTGGCTCTTGCAAATGTTTCAGAAGTGAAGCAACTCTTTTTGGGTGTCGTAAAGACTCAAAAGACTCAAAGATCCAACCAGGGCAGAAGTTGTTGAAAGGCTTGGTGAAATCCCAGGGAATCCCCATGGTGGATACAGGGGTCAGATCCTTGGATTTCTAGTCCGCAAGCTGCATCAAACTGCCATGCAGGAGGAATTGGGAAAGCTGATTCCGAAAGTTCAGGCCAACCTGACGACCCGTGACCCATGAGGGATGCACCAAGCTTGCTGTCATTTATTAAGATTTGACATGGTTCAACTCGCTCCTTGTCACCATGTGCAATTTGGAGATGGTCTCTGCAACTTGTCGCAGGAATTGCTGGACTATCTAAAGCAGTTCGACACGGACGGTAAAGGCGCATTGTCAGAGGAAGAGCTGCAAGAAGTGATGAGAGGCAGGATCGGGCTTGGAACAGCCGAAAAGGTTGGGGGCGAGGGGATCAACGGATGCCTGGCTGCCTGATGAAGTCTGTTTGCACATCGAAGCCACGTCCTGTCAGGGAGCAACAGGTCCAGGTGGAGCCATGCAGAGACTCCCAAACCATACCATACAAGAGTAGAAACAAGAAGAAACACATAGAACCATATAGACATATTTGTGATGTTTTTGACCCAAGCTAAACCTCTGCAGAAATCCGAAAACATCCACTGTAATAATCTGTAATACGGGCCTAATTACTTGTTGGTGTGTCTATGCTAGGACCCGCAGGTTGACATTTTAAGATGTTGGCGTCGCAGGAAGTGAGCTGAGCCAGGACAAAGTCCAGGCCAGGTGGGAGCTGCACCATGGAATTTGGAGGATTTGGAGGTTGTCATTCTTTAAAGTTTGTCACGAACCTGCAAAGCCAATCCGTTTAGACACGGCTTTAACTTTACCACCTGTCTTTCAATAGAACATGCCATATCCTTTCCCAAAAAGAACCAACTGTGACATCCTGTGAACGTTGATCCGTGTATTGAGCTGAGCCTTGAACGGTTGGATGGTTGCCGGGCCATGTCCAAACGGCTCGAGGCCAGTCTTCGGAAGCTGCCGAGGAACAGCGCCCTGCACGCAAGTAAACCCGCCAACCCATAGATGCCACAGATGCAGGTGCTTTTTTTTGGTGTTGAGCCGCTTGCAGCGGTCTTCGGAGGGTACATAGTAAACTGAGTAAACTGAGTAAACCATAGAGCGATTTCCAGACACATGTCAAGATATGTCAAGGAGACCAGGTGTTTTGCTCAGCGTAGCTGAGGTGAAGGTCACCTGGACATCGTGAAACTGTCCAAGTACTTCTTGGAGCTTGGCAACTCTCAGGCCCCGCAATGCTCCGCAGCTGATGCTGTAACTGAGTCATGGACCATTAGCGCTTGACAATCTGCCACAGTTTGACCACGTGCCGAGGTTTGACAACCGTAACCAGAGTTGAACATGTGGAAGAGAGAGAGAGAGAGAGATGTTCTTGTTCGTTTTTCTTTGTGGAAGAGAGCTGAGAGGCTGAGAGTATCAATGCTTCTTTGATGTGGAACCTTGTCAGCGTTGGCGGCCTCGTCAGGTTGAAGCTGACGACTCGATTCCTGGTACAGCGAAAACTAGGCGGGCAGCAGTTGCTCAGGGCTCCCAGTTGTGGGTACAGGTGCCATACAGGTGCTGAAAAGGATTGAAAAGGCAAACATGGCCGATGCTCGCTCAACATCGCTCAACTGTTGTCTCGCTTTTTGCCAGTGTTTCACAACATGTCGCATGTGGTTCAAACAAACACAACCCAAAATCGACTGAGGGAACCATTTCCCTTCTTGGCATGCGCTCGTATGAATCAACCTTGCCCTGTGTCCAATGTCGATTTAGAGAGGCAAAGGCGAACAACCCATCCACGCAGTCGTGACCAGGCAGGATGCCGCCTCCCAGGTGCGAGAAGCGCGGGAGCTCAGTGGCGATGCTTCGAGCTTCCATGAGCTTCCCTAGTTTTTCACCGAGGGAGATATCACAAGGGAATCCATTGCACTTGTGGCCACCAGTTCATCATGCGCCTGGGACTAAATGATGTAGGTCTGGTTGTAGTATTTGTATGTATTTGTATCATTATTCATTCAATTATTCCCACATTTATTGGTCTTGGAACCGTCTAATATCGGCATATTGGATGGGGATTGGTTGTCTCACAAGTTCATTGATTGACGAAGGCCATTGCCAAAGCGGCCGACGCAGAAGCCTGGTTCCGAGCAGTACCAAGTGGAGAAAATGTCATGAAGTTGGCACATGACCGGGGAAGAATTCTGTCCATGTATGAAGGCCAGCCTATGCCAGCCTTAACAGATCTCAACAGTACACCCTATGCATTTGCTCAAGAGAGCTGAGAGGCTGAGAGTATCAATGCTTCGATGTGGAACCTTGTCAGCGTTGGCGGCCTCGTCAGGTTGAAGCTGACGACTCGATTCCTGGTACAGCGAAAACTAGGCGGGCAGCAGTTGCTCAGGGCTCCCAGTTGTGGGTACAGGTGCCATACAGGTGCTGAAAAGGATTGAAAAGGCAAACATGGCCGATGCTCGCTCAACATCGCTCAACTGTTGTCTCGCTTTTTGCCAGTGTTTCACAACATGTCGCATGTGGTTCAAACAAACACAACCCAAAATCGACTGAGGGAACCATTTCCCTTCTTGGCATGCGCTCGTATGAATCAACCTTGCCCTGTGTCCAATGTCGATTTAGAGAGGCAAAGGCGAACAACCCATCCACGCAGTCGTGACCAGGCAGGATGCCGCCTCCCAGGTGCGAGAAGCGCGGGAGCTCAGTGGCGATGCTTCGAGCTTCCATGAGCTTCCCTAGTTTTTCACCGAGGGAGATATCACAAGGGAATCCATTGCACTTGTGGCCACCAGTTCATCATGCGCCTGGGACTAAATGATGTAGGTCTGGTTGTAGTATTTGTATGTATTTGTATCATTATTCATTCAATTATTCCCACATTTATTGGTCTTGGAACCGTCTAATATCGGCATATTGGATGGGGATTGGTTGTCTCACAAGTTCATTGATTGACGAAGGCCATTGCCAAAGCGGCCGACGCAGAAGCCTGGTTCCGAGCAGTACCAAGTGGAGAAAATGTCATGAAGTTGGCACATGACCGGGGAAGAATTCTGTCCATGTATGAAGGCCAGCCTATGCCAGCCTTAACAGATCTCAACAGTACACCCTATGCACTTGCTCAATCATTCCAGCACGATACACGAGTATATTAGCATATATTAGCAATTGTTTCTTTATCTTTTCTTCTCTTTGAAGGATTTCCTCGTGTGGAGCCATTGAATTTGCCCCAAGGCTCGATACGGCTTGAAAGATCCACAGGCTTTCGCCCAATTCCTACAAGATTCGGATGTTCGGTTGGTACGAGCCAAGTTTGACCCCCAGTCGTTGTGGCTATGTGCCCTACAGTAAAGCAGTGCTGTGCAGTGCTGTGCCGTGCTGTGCAATGCTGTACAGATTTGCATGTGGAAGTGCTCGATCATTGAATCCTTAGATTGCAGCCAAAGCAGGACCAATGGTTATATTATATACACGCAAAGAATTATGCTTTGTCTTCCTCGTCTTCTTGCAAGTGAAAATTCAAGCCAAAAAGGACAGAGCCAGTGATATTTCACATGAAGATAGCAAGTCAGATAGCTGAACAATTGAGCACGCGAGCCACAAATGCCAGCTTCAACCCTAGAGGATCCTAGAGGCCAGAAACTCATGACAAGAGATGTTTCCGTTCATGTCTGACATGAGACGTGATGCACCCTTACAGAAATCTGCGCTGAGGTACTTGGTAGACTTGGTTCTCTCCAAACGGCCGTTGCCGAGACGGCAAGAAGCAGAAACCGAGACCTTCACGTGCGGTGGCGAGCGTCAGAGTGCGTTGGTGACGCACGAAGAAGTGCAAAATTGGGCCAAGAGGACCCAGGAGGCAATCATTTGTTCCATTTCCCACGCCTGGGAAACCCGGGAACATCCAGATCCCTGTCGGCACCAATTGCAGCAGATCGTCAATCATACGGGACTGTACGGTGCTGCCTTCAAAGCAGACATTTGGATCTTCTATGATTACAGCTCGCTCTTCCAATATGAAAGAACCAACTCACATGAAGACAAGAGCTTTCGGAAGGCGATGAACAACATGCACCTCATGTATGCTCACGAATGCACTTTGACATTCAGGATCGAAACCCTTACTCCAAAGGATGTTTGGGAAACCATGATGGCTGATGAAGAAGCTGTTGTCCGAGTGTATGATGCAGGCAGCAAGACTCTAAAAGAGAAGCCCTTGAAGCTCTTGGAAGCCAACAGAATTCCATATTCACAGCGAGGGTGGTGTATGGCAGAAATCGAATGGTCATCTCTGAGAGGAGTGAATGCACAACATCAACACATCGACAGGCCGAAGGATCCGAAGTCTGAGACGCAGAAATCCGATGATCTCAATGGGAGAGTGCCTATGATCCCTGAGAATTTCAGGCAGCAAATGGAGCAAGCAAAGTTCACCCATCGCTCGGATGCTGACGCAGTGATCTATTTGCAACAAAAGATTTTCAGGGAGAAGGTGATCGAATGTCAACACTTGGTGTTGGAAGGCCTTCCGGCCCAAGAGATCTCGGCACTAGCGCATGCACTCCCACACTACGAAAATCTGAAGAGCCTGACGGTGAGGAGGTTTCAATGTGGCGAGGAAGAGGCAGCGTCCCTAGGGAAGGCCCGAGACATGTCGGTATCAAAATGATTCCAACTGTGTGATCTTGCATGGAAAAAGTGCTGCCCTGCCTTGTCCTCACAAAACCTGGCGCCCTGCAGGCTTTGGCATCAAGTCAAGCGGAGATGCTTGAAATCAGCCGGGGCATCGGTGAAAGTGGCCGATTCATGGTGAAGGCAGCAGATTGTTTGATCATTGATCCACTTCCTTGATACGATTGCTTTCTCACCCACATACAACAATAAAGGGCAAGTCGCTGAATTGCTCTTGCGGTAGCAAGGGATGTCGGAGGCAGCGATTACCCCGGTTCCGCCCATTGAACAACCCTGGCTTTTTGAGGCTTGATTTCCCACAATGAGACAACATCTATCAGCCATCATTTTGGACAAGCTAGAAGTGCAACATGTTGCCTTGGAACATGGCTGGACCTGGGAATAGGAAACTCGCCTTCACACAACCGATCCAACTTGATGCACTCTCAATTCATCCAGCTCACTCCACCTCACTCTTTCCAACGCTCTCCACTAAACTCAAGTCATCTACCTCGGTCCACTGCACTCGATCAAACTCACTCCACTAAATTCACTCCATCCAACTCACCCACTCATTCTACCTAACTCTAGCAATCCAACGAACTCACTCTACCAAACTTCACCCTCACTCCGCCCTGCTCACTCACTCCAACTCACCACCTCACTAACTCCACTCAGAGCCACCTTCACTCCCTTGCCCATGTTCCCCTTGCATCTCGCTTCGCCAAGTCTCTTTACTCATTTTACTTGTTGCAGTTGCTGATCCGGATTTTTGATGTCTTGTGTTTCTTTCAGGCTCTCGCGGAAGCCTTGAAGACCAATCGCTCCGTGCGGGATATGAATTTGGAATATAACATGATTGGTTCCGAGGGAGCTCAGGCCTGGCCTGTATCGGATGTGTTGGGCTCTTTGGCTTAGATGTAGCCCATATCAAGGGGTATCACAAGTATTATGATGTTCTCTCTGGGTAGATGTAGCTTGCTTGATTTCAGTTTGGTTGTTGGTGATTTGTCCAGGCCTAGCCTCTTTAGCATGCTTTCACTTGAACCCTTTTCAGATCGGCTTCAACTTCTTGCGGTAGCAAGGGATGTCGGAGGCAGCGATTACCCCGGTTCCGCCCATTGAACAACCCTGGCTTTTTGAGGCTTGATTTCCCACAATGAGACAACATCTATCAGCCATCATTTTGGACAAGCTAGAAGTGCAACATGTTGCCTTGGAACATGGCTGGACCTGGGAATAGGAAACTCGCCTTCACACAACCGATCCAACTTGATGCACTCTCAATTCATCCAGCTCACTCCACCTCACTCTTTCCAACGCTCTCCACTAAACTCAAGTCATCTACCTCGGTCCACTGCACTCGATCAAACTCACTCCACTAAATTCACTCCATCCAACTCACCCACTCATTCTACCTAACTCTAGCAATCCAACGAACTCACTCTACCAAACTTCACCCTCACTCCGCCCTGCTCACTCACTCCAACTCACCACCTCACTAACTCCACTCAGAGCCACCTTCACTCCCTTGCCCATGTTCCCCTTGCATCTCGCTTCGCCAAGTCTCTTTACTCATTTTACTTGTTGCAGTTGCTGATCCGGATCTTTGATGTCTTGTGTTTCTTTCAGGCTCTCGCGGAAGCCTTGAAGATCAATAGCTCCGTGCGGGACATGAATTTGAAACATAACATGATTGGTTCCGAGGGAGCTCAGGCCCGACCTGTTTCGGATGTGTTGGGCTCTTTGGCTTAGACTCAACACAAATCAAGGCGTATCACAAGTATGATGATGTTTTCTCTGGGTAGATGTAGTTTGCTTGACTTCAGTTTGGCTGTTGGTGATGTGTCCAGGCATAGCCTCTTTGACATGCGTTCATTCGAAGCATTTCCAGATCAGCTTCGAGTGACTGTCATGTCGATTCGTAGGTTGGTCTAGGTTGGTCAGAGGCGAGCCAGGTCTCTTTACTTAATTTACTTGTTGCAGTTGCTGACCCGGATCTTTGATGTCTTGTGTTTCTTTCAGGCTCTCGCCGAAGCCTTGAAGATCAATAGCTCCGTGCGGGACATGAATTTGGAATATAACAAGATTGGTTGGGCTCTTTGGCTTAGACTCAACACACATCAAGGGGTATCACAAGTATGATGATGCTTTCTCTGGGTATATGTAGCTTGCTTGATTTCAGTTTTGTTGTTGGTGATGTGTCCAGGCCTGGTCTGTTTGACATGCTTTCATTCGAAGCATTTCCAGATCAGCTTCAAGTGAGTGTCATGTCGATTCGAAGGTTGGTCCAGGTTGCTCAGAGGTGAGCCAAGTTTTCTTACGTTTTGCAAATGCTGATTAATAAATGACCATTGACGACTTGATGACAAATATGACCGAAGTGGAGTTGAGGTGTATGTTTTTTTTTGGGTGCTAGTGCAAAGCACAGCAGACTCAGAACCCACAGCGTCAATTTCTTGGCTGGCTCGCCGCCGGACTAATCTACAGAGTCTCAAGTTGTTGTCTCAGCATGCGGCCAAAGCTTCTCATATAAGCTCTCAGGGGCCTAGTGTGGATTGCTCTTTCACACTTGGGAACGTGCGTCTGTCACAGCGAGCTTCGACTCGACCTTGGCTTCAGCCAGGCTGATGCGCAGATGCTCTTGCAGATGCGCAGAGACACCACTGCTGACAGTGACTTGGACGACGGAGCCAAGGCCTGGGGCTCTGAGTGGCTTCATGCATCACCTGCATCACAATGCGGAGGGGCTGGAGTTTTTCCGTTGCCGCTGCTTTGATATCCAAATCATATATATATATTATATAATATATATTTGACTTATCTTGTTCAACTTTTCGAAACACTTGCCAAGTTTACCTCTGTGTCTTGTGGCATGCTCAACAGGAGAGTGATGATCAAGTCCCCGGCAGACGCCCTTTTCAAGCACCGGTTCGTCTTCAGGCAGGTTTCCTGTGTTGCGGCGCAAGGTGACAACGTGCTCCTTTCTGGAAGGGAACTTGATGGACTTTGTACCACTTTTCAATTCAGTTTTCCCCAAGGGCTTCTGCTAATTTTTGGACAACCACCTGGGGCAGTTCTGCAGCGTTTTTTTCCCGAGAGCGTCTGAGCGCAGGGTTCTTCCAATAGTGGGGGTCTGTATCTCATCTTCTCATCTTCACACCTTCTCATCTTCACACCTTCTCTCACACCTTCTCATTTTCACATCTGCTCATCTT